TTAGCTGAATACAAAATGACATATAATGATCAAATAGACATGACTTGCTCGAGAGTTGTCGGATAAAACGGATATTACTCGTCACGGCCTAACATGGCATGAACCGAACATAGTCTAGCTTTATCATGATTCAGATGACATAAATTGAATCTAATACACTAAATTGATCCTATTAACATGTATTGATGAAGATGATAAGGTTACCTCTTAAATATCTCAATGAATTGTGAGTGATTTCCCTTGATCAATCTTTACGTGCGCGTGCGTGTGTATTTCCTTGCGTTACTTGACTAAACTTCTCATTTACTCTCTTAATTTAGCTTAATATAAAGCTTATGGTTAGGCTGAATTTTCCCCTCCACTTACGATTTATAAAGATGAAAGCTAGTAAAATTTTGGGAGAAATTAGTAAAGACAAAAAGTGGCCAATTAGAGAACACCACTTGCCATGTACTTGTGGCCTAAGGTGTAAAATTTGTGGCTTAGTCACCACACCTTATTTACTTGAGTGCCATATCACTTAGTTAGCAATGATTAAATTCACGTGACATTTTCCTCCTCAAACTTCCTTCATTTGATGCTATGCACGTCAATAAATAAAGACCAACTCTCACGGCCATAAGCTTGAAATTTGACTTGATTATGTACTAATAAAGTGTACTTGACACTAATCTTAGTACAATTCCTTAACTTGCTTATTAACGCATAACGCGTGATCACTCGGTTATTAACTCAAGCTTACCCATGAACATGCACACTATGTGTCTATTAATTACTACGCCTGCAATTACGTTCGACAAAATTAATTATCGAGCGATTTGACATGAATTAATTATCGGAAATTATTCTGAACGTAAACGGTACGTCGAAAATAATTTTCGGTAATCTCGACTGAAAATAATTAATTCCGAAAACAATATCGGAACTAAAACATAATTTATACTGATAAACTGACGGGATGTCGCTGACTGAATAATTAATTCCGGACTCATTAATTAATTAAACGAATCGGAATTAAATCTGGAAACTAATTCGATTACTAAAATAAGTAAACCGAAGAACTTATCGACTAATAGTCGAACATAGGATATGACTGACTGATCAATCTGAACTTGAACCCGAACATGATTATTTATTAATAAAGGCTAGCTTAAAACTGAAAGCTAGTATTTCCTTTATTAATAAAATACGGGGCGTTACAATATCCGAATATCATGTTAAGTCTAGTAGAGCATCTTACCATAATTAATCAGTTAAATTTATCAGTCTGAGCATAGTCCTTAGTAATTGTTTATATTATTTTTCAGTTTGATCAGGCATCAGCACTACCTTCATTTTCAGCAGTTCAGGTGGGGACTCAGACTAAGTACTACATTGATTATAATTACTCTACCATGTTTGAGGTATGTATATTCAGTATCCGCTCGGAATGGTCGCCGGTCCATTCTGGGTTCTAGTGGCCTTAATCTGCCCACTAGAGTGTGCACATGGTGTCCGGCTTTGCCGGCAGATGTTCAGTTCAGACAGGTGACTTATGTCACGAGATCAGTATCAGATTATTCAGACCGGTATCAGATATCAGTTATCAGTTCAGTTTCAGTTCAGTTATATATGCCAGGATCATGATATTGTTATTATTTTCACTGTTTTACTTTAGTATGTGTTTCTGCGGAGCACAGTGTTTTAGTGCTCACGACCCCACATATTTCATGTTTTTCAGGTCACAGGGTCGGGGACGAGGAGTGAGCTGACGAGCTGTTCAGGATAATTGTTTTGACATGTATATGTTATGTTTTGGCCACGCTACTATTCCGCTTCAGTTTTCAGTACTTAAACTCAATTTTTGATCCGGCATTAGTCGGTTAATACATTATATAACCGTTTTTATTATCAATTTAAAATTAACGGTTTTCAGAAAAGTCAGATTTTCACGGTAGCACTCCGAATCAGTTTTCTCAAATAAAAAGAAACATTTTATTAAATTTATTCAGAAAATTTGCGAAAAAGCGTACTCTGATTTCAGTAAAATAACGGGGTGTTACACACTGCCCCTTGATTCCGAATTCGACCCGCATCAATCTTGCCCATAAGGGTAATTGTCACCATTCAGAGTGACATTGATCTTTATCCTTTCACTGCTGCTTGAATTTGACCCTCCTGATCGCAGAAGCCTTGCAATTTGCAGTGCTAAATCATCGTTTGAAATTGTATTTGTGATTTGTTTTTCTGTTGTGTCCATTTTTCAGCGATGAAGATTTGAGCTGAATTGCCCGTGATGAATTGTATTCTGGGGCTTGAATGATTTTTCTGTGAAGATTTTTTTTTTTTTTTTTTTGTTTTTGAGATATGTTTCAAGTAATGACGATTTCTGAGTTTGGAAGAAAAAAAAAAGGATTGTGTTTGTGTGTGCGGAATTTTGCAGGAAAGTGATGAAGCGAGATTAAACTCGCTCTGATACCATATTAACAGAAATGAAAATCAACACAAAAGTTTTACGTGGTTCGATCATTGTGATCTACATCCACGGGAGGGGAACTCTTGTTTTTCTTATTTTTATTTCTCTGGTTACAGTGGCTTTTTATACAAAGCTTTCAAATCTTTTACAAATCTTTTCCATTCTAATGAAGGGCTAGAATCACTTGTTATTTAAGGTAAAGATTTGAGTCCCTAATTAATGAGATGATGGTGCCCTTAATTAAGAAAATCCTTCCCTTTCTAACATGGTGAATGGACGACAATGGTGGCAGAGGCTAAATTTCCGCCATGGCAACCATTCTTCACAAATTTCTAATGGCGATAAGGTAAAAATCTTCCGCGGCATTCACCATGGCGGATAATTGACATTAATGACCAAAACTTATCGAGATAAAGTTACCTGATATTGTGGACTAGTTCCCCAAGAAGCAGGATTCCCGTCTTCCCAGTTGTCCCTGACATTTTCATAATCAAAATTTTATCCACATCAGTAACGAAAATCGTGCATTTCTTGAATTCTTATGATGTGGATTGCATAGTGACAAATAAAAAAATAGAAAGGAGGTAAATGATAAAAGCGAGCAGGTCATCGATATAAAGTTGAGTAATTAAAATAAAGCAAAAAAGTTCCAATATATCCCAAGTTTAAACCAAACGAACCTCATAAGACCCATCTCTAACTAACTGAATTAGCTATTACCTTGGTGGACTCATTGGTGTGTAAGGATTCCATGCACGGTTACGCATAGGAGTCCTCATACCATCATGATGAGGAGTTGCTGCAAGGCAATTCATTAGGACCAAACTATCAGATCTTAACCAAAATGAGATTGTGCAGTGAGAAAAAACCGATCACCATAAACAATACGAATGACATAACATACGAATCTCTCATAGGAGTCATATATGGATGCAGTGGTGTTCGAGAAGGATGCATTGGGGTCTCACTTCCCATGCCATATCTGGATGTTTCCCTAGAGACAGAACACATAGCAGATCATAAGGTTTACAATCAGAGAACCTAAAAAGTTTTCCAGCAGAATGCCCACCTAAATGGCGTAGTAACATTGACGTTATCGGATATATAACTGCGATCAACTGCACATACAATTACAATCTAATCAAGATATTACCAGTGAAAAAGGAAAAGAAAATATATTAACTTTCAACAGAAAGGAAACTTGCCTGCAACAACCTTCATTTGTGACTCCAACTCAACTCGGACCGTGGCACCTTTTACATCTACCACACGTCCCTTGCATCCCTTGTAGTGGCCCTTACGAATTTTAACAGCAGCTCCAACTAAAGCATCATGACCTCTTTGTAGTGATCCAGTAATTTGTAATTAGTAAATATTTAGTGACTGAGATTTTAGCTTGAATTTCAGAATTTGTATAAGAAAATGTATAAGAATTGAGGAAGAAGGTAATGAGGAAGAAGGAGAATCTAGAGAGAGAGAGGGAGAGAAGAGAGAGATAGAAAATGTTGTTGCATAACCTAATGGTTTTTCCCTTTACATTTTACCCATAAGTAATTTCCATCAATCGGGCCCCACACTAACAACCAACACATTTTGCCTAAGGAAATGACAAAAAAAAAGAAAAATGGAAAATAAACATAAATGTTTGAATATAAAATGGCATAATAAAAACTGAGTCTTTTTTGGTGCTTCCACGTGGATCACGAGATCGCCTCTTATTCGCTGTGCTCAACGGCCATGATTGTGCCACGCGTCGACACGAAAACCTCTTCCCCAAATTCAGACAAAGCCTTATCGCTTGTCCAAATTGCCTTCACTTCATTTTTCCCAATTCCTTCTTCGTCGCCATAGCCATTTCTTTCACCTGCTTCACCCGAGCTCCCTTTCATTTCATCTAAGGTCACGACATTTCTTCCTCCTTTTTCAGATCCTTGTCCACAAGGATCAAATCCTTTGAACTTTTTGAGGATAAATTTCTCATCCTCCCATGAAGTGATTCCTAGGGTTCTTTCACCCCATGCCACCAGAATTTAATGCACACTTTCATTTCCTCGTTGTATGGTACGTCTGTCCAAGATTCAGTGGGTTGAGCAGTGAATTGTCCATCTTCCTCAGTACTCGGCAATTTCTCAACAGATAAGTCATTTTCCCCCTTCTTTTCCCTCAATAAAGAAACATGAAACACATGATGCACTTTGGATCCTTCAGGTAATTCAAGTTTGTAAGCAACCTTACCTATCCTCTCAATGATTTTGTAGGGTCCAAAAAACCTGGAGCTGAGCTTGACATTTTTTCTTAATTTCACTGAACTCTGGCGGTATGGCTGCAGCTTAAGGTAAACCATATCACCCACCTCATATTCCTTATCAAGTCTTGATTTATCAGCATAGGCTTTCATCATTTCTTGTGCTGTCATTAAGTTGTCCTTAAGTCCTTGCATCTTGAGTTGCCTCTGAATGATGAAATCCTTGGCATCAAAATTAGGGGAATCGAGGTAGTCTTTAAGTGATATGGATGTAGGTGAGTAACCGTATAGAGCCTCAAATGGGGTAGACTTAAGAGTTGTGTGGTAATTAGTATTGTACCAATATTCAGCCACAGTCAGCCATTTATACCACTTCTTTGGAGAATAATGTACCATACACCTCAAATAGTTTTCCACACACTGATTTACCCTTTTTGTTTGCCCATCAGTTTGGGGGTGATAAGAGGAAGAGAAACTCAGTGTTACCCCCACCATCTTAAATAAATCCTTCCAGAACAAACTTGTGAACACCTTGTCTCTATCTTTGATTATGCAAACTGGGAGACCATGATGTTTATAAACCTGATCCATAAACATTCTAGCCATATCTTGAGCATTGTAAGGGTATGCTAAGGCAATGTAATGTCCGTCCATATTTGGTTAGCCTGTCCACCACCACAAGAATTGAGTCCTTACCCCATGATTTAGGTAATCCCTCGATGAAATCCATCAAAATGTGTGACCAAGCTTCATTAGGTATAGGAAGGGGTTGCAATAAACCA